TTCGAGCGGATAGCACCGCAGTGCTGTTTATTCTCTTCCTCTTGGGAATTGTGCATATTGATTTGCTTTCCTGTGGTACATAAAGAAGTAAAATAACGCTAAACTTGGTCACACCTGGTCTGTGGATTTGTGTCACCGTCCAGTAAACCTCTTCTGAAGATGTAATGAAAGACTCTGAGCCGCTGAAATGGGTGGTCCACACTCCTGCTAATGAATCGGGTCATGTGATGGACGCAGTAAAATCTAACAGAGAGATAATTATAGACACACACACACACTCCATTACAAGACAGACATCAAAGAAAGAAGCACTTTGAGAGCTTGTTCCTATGGGGCATGCCCCACCACCCTCTTTAAACAGAATCTCAAATCTTGAATGCCAACGACTCAGCAATTACCCAAATTATCTGAAAGACTCGAATGCTTTTGGCACGCCTTGCAAGACCCAGTCATTAATGCAGGGGTTAGCAGGAGGTTGGGGCTATGCCAGATATGCTTTAGAAAACTTTAAATAAATAAATGAACGAATAAATAAGTTGATAAATTTATCTATTTACTCAGGGTGCTCTCATTTTATTTGTAACTATGTAGAGGGTTTGTATGTTGGATAGGCACTGAAACGTATCAACGTTTTGACAGCATCTGTTTGGTTGAAAGAATAAATATGCCATATATGTCTGATTTTTATTCACTTATGATTGATTTTCTAATAAAAAAATAAGTAAAAGCATAATTAAATCTTCAGTTGGTTATGTTTAAAGCTCAACTGAATTTGTTCTTGATCATTAGACACGATGTTATGGTACCTTAGTTTCTTAGAAAGGTGCCTTCATACTAAAACACTGTCTGTTAAATCAGTGAGTGACTGGGCAGTGAGGCAGCAAGGCAGCTGGCTATGGTTTCAGACACAGCTTCATTTATCAGTAAATGATGGAGAAATTTTGTCAGAAAAGGGTCTTTTTAATAGAAAATGTATTTATAAATGAAATGAAGACTTTGTATTTTATATTAATTATCATTAAATCAATAAGTATGAAATGGTGTGCAAAACCAATACTAGGGATACTAGGGATACACCAAAAAATTCTGTCATCATTTACTCACTCTTGTGTGATTTCAAACTTGCATTGCATTAACACAAATAAATAACATCAGAGCCCATTGACTTTTATTGTATGGACAAAACTGAGACATTTCTCAAAATATCTGGAGTATCTCTTCAAAATGAATGGGTGTAACTAGTTTAAGTATCTGTGTGTGTGTGTGTGTGTGTGTGTGTGTGTGTGTGTTTTGCTACAATGATCTCACCAGTTTTTATCTATGCCTTTATCTATGCCTGCCTGCCTGTCTAACTGGGGCAAAACATACTTGAAAGTTATTCATCTTTCACAAAACTGTTTGTCTGTCTGTCCGTCCATCCGTCCGTCCGTCCGTCCGTCCATCCATCCATCCATCCATCCATCCATCCAGCAAAACTGTCTGTCTATCTATCTATCAATCTGTCAGTCAGTCAGTCAGTCAGTCAGTCTGTCTTTTTATCTTTCAGGCAAGGCTCTGTCAAGCCGACATTCTAAGTTCGTCTTGACAAATTGTTGAAAAAAATTTATATATGGGTCATCAGATTTGGTTCATGTTTCTGAGTAAAATGAAAAGGAAATCAGTAGGACAACTGAGACTAGAAACAGACCAAAGTGCATCTTAAACAATAGCCACAATCTCTGAAAATAATCGTTTTAAATAAACATTGAGCTTTAGTCTGTGTGTGTGTGTGTGTGTGTGTGTGTGTGTGTGTTTTGCTACAATGATCTCACCAGTTTTTATCTATGCCTTTATCTATGCCTGCCTGCCTGTCTAACTGGGGCAAAACATACTTGAAAGTTATTCATCTTTCACAAAACTGTTTGTCTGTCTGTCCGTCCATCCGTCCGTCCGTCCGTCCGTCCATCCATCCATCCATCCATCCATCCATCCAGCAAAACTGTCTGTCTATCTATCTATCAATCTGTCAGTCAGTCAGTCAGTCAGTCAGTCAGTCAGTCAGTCTGTCTTTTTATCTTTCAGGCAAGGCTCTGTCAAGCCGACATTCTAAGTTCGTCTTGACAAATTGTTGAAAAAAATTTATATATGGGTCATCAGATTTGGTTCATGTTTCTGAGTAAAATGAAAAGGAAATCAGTAGGACAACTGAGACTAGAAACAGACCAAAGTGCATCTTAAACAATAGCCACAATCTCTGAAAATAATCGTTTTAAATAAACATTGAGCTTTAGTCATTATTGTACAAATGTAGGTCTCAGTTCTGAACACGTTTGCTTGTTTGGCCAGCTTTTCCTCCAGCCAGTTCCAGCTCAGAGGCTGAAAATGTGAGGAATCTAATGAATAATTGATTTGTTAAATCAAATGAAAAATGGTGTGTCTGATTGGTCCAGACGCTACAGGAGTTAGAGGAAACCTCCTCAAGGCTCTCATTGTTGTGCTTAATCCCCTTCAGACGGACCCGGACAGAGATAAAAGGCACTTTTTCTAAAGCGTGCTCCGGTTCTATTCATCCACAGAGCTCTTGCTCACCCTCAGCTCAATAGGCCCACAGTGTCGCGTGTCTCACCCTGCGCGACCAACAATGGCTTTAGTTATGCTAAAAAACAATCTTTAGCCGCTTTATTTAGCTGAGCGGTGGTGAGGGCATAACTGGGCTATGAAGGAGGGCATATATATCAATATATAATCCTGTCATTCACACAGAAAGAAATGAGGTTAACTATTAATCATAATTTAGGTGTCACCTAAACCTTGTGTAGATATCACATGACATCTTATATCATTAAAAGCAACGTTAAAAAAAATGAATGGAGGGTTTGTTGTCTATTTGCCCTGTGGGTCTTTGACTGAAATATATATTGAACATACATGACAGAAACTAAATAAAATACAATAAAAAATTGATCAAATTTTCAACAGAATAGTATTGTCACGTTGCTACTGTGAGGGAGCGTGGAGTGAGGAACGAGGAGATGTGGAGAACATTAACGAGGAGAATTTTATTAAATCAAGGGAACCGGGAAAACACACATAGCTTAGGAGGTAGACATTCACAATACCGGACCACCAAACTTAGAACAGGGCTCACTATAAATACAAATGATATGACGATGGAATGCCGAGACACACCTGGGATCAATAAAACAATAAACATAATTAGAACAGGAACAGGAAGACCCAAATAAGGGCATGGAAACACATGGGGAGCAAAACAGGAACAGAGTCTGACAAGTATAGCTATGGCTGTAATTTGAAGTGGTTTTTATTTTCTTGACTTGTAAAAAAGTACCCATCTAGCTTTACTAAAATCAGTGTCACTTCCTTTTTGCTTTTCTCCAATCTTAAATTGCTATAAATTCAAAAACAAACTCTACAGATTCTTTCAGCGTCTTCAGTGTCACATGAGCCTTCAGAAATCATTCCAATATGCTGATTTGCTGCTCAAGAAACATATTATAATCAATGTTGAAAACAGTTGTATTTCTTAATATTTTATGTAAACATTGATGGATACAAAGTTAAAAAAAAACAGCATTTATTTGCAATATAAATCTTTTGTAACATTATAAATGTCTTTAATATCACTGTTTTGTGTGCTTGCTGAATAAAATGATTTCATTAAGAAAAATCTTACTGACCTCAAACATTTGAACGGTGATGTATATATTATGTAAATTTATTCTGATTATTACTATTAATACATTTTAAGTTTTTAATGAATATCATATGATATTTCTATCGCGTCATTTGAATTTCTAATAAGCCACTTTCCAAAAAGCCACTCAAGGCTCGAGTGTTACAATGATTTTACCACAGGTAAAGGCACAATGCTTCATGTCATGCCAATAAACACCGCTTACCTGTGGTAAAATCACTCTAAAACACAGACCCTTTCATGGATTATTGCTGTATTCAATTTAGTAAAGAAGTATCAATTTAGTAAAGAAGTATCAAAGCGTGACATGAACGCTGAACACAGTACACTTCACACACTTCAGAGGGAAATGACGGGGTAACAGGGTGGCCGTGTCTGTACAGCGACACTGATCTGAGCAGAAAGTCTGTTTCACAGCTGTGAATTATCCTCTGTCAGTGTGAAATATCTGCTGTGTTTGACAGCGTGTGGTGTCGCAGGAGGTATTGTGTTATGGATCTGACGGGCCATCAAGAGCACTGACAGCACAAACCTCTCTATCCATTAGAAGCCTGACAGAGGCCGTGACAGACCGCTTGATGGAGGAGAGGAAAGAGGGAAACGCGGATCTGAGGAAACTGAGTCAGCAGCACACATCTGTTGCCGGAGCACCGGGGCGAGCCAGGGCAACAACAACCAAGCAAAGATGAAAATCACTGTCAAACTCAAGCGAAACATACTGGGCAAAATAAATGCACCTGTGACAGCTGCATCTGGTCAAAGCCTCTGTGTGGAAAAGGAATGACAATTTTTAGAAAATGTCACACCTAAATAAATGTCATTTAATTTATTTAAATTATAATTTATGTTAATACCATAAAACAACTTTTTTTGTGTGTGTCCAGAGAGAGAGAGAGAGAGAGAGAGAGAGAGAGAGAGAGAGGAAATGTGATTATTGGTATGTTAATCTTATATATTTTAGTCCACTTTTATTAGGTTTTTTATGAATTTCTTAAAGCTTTTCTTTAAAAAAAAGCTTGAATATAATTTTATAATTATAATGTTTGAATTACTGGATCATTTCCATGTATGTATTGTATCATTCACATTAAATATATATCAACTGCTTGTCTATCTATCTATCTATCTATCTATGTTTTGGTAAAGCAGATGTTTCCAAACAAAACAAAGTATATATTTTCTTGGGAATATTGTTTTAACTGGGCATCATTTTATAGATATTTGTTTGTGTGTGTGTGTGTGTCATTTTTCTGTCTTATTCCATCCTGTTTGTCTTTTGTAATATAACAAAAGACACTTCCACTTCCTTGACATCCCCATGCAGGAAGTGACATCATATTGGAGGGAAACCAGCAGAACAAACATCAGTGAGTATTTGATGGATTTTGTCTTGTTTTGGTAATTTGTCTCTGTTAGAAAATATGTCAGTTTGCTGAAAGATGGTTTAAAATGTCATAATAAACTTTAGTTGCATTTGGTGTGTTTAAAATCCGTTTGGATGCCATTATTTTTATTGTTCCGCTTTATGCAATGTGTGGTGCACCTGTTTATTTTGAGCCTGCTTTATTTTTGCTTTTATTTTTCCCTGTACAGGTAGTTTTCCGGCCCACTGTTTGAATGATTACCAACCATTTTTGTACTAAAATTCAATAATTAAAAGTATTGACATCCATTTTGTGGAAAAAAAAACACGTCAGTCTTAATGAGCAAAGGGAAGTGCCCTGACTTACTCAGTAGTTGTCTGCCAAGAACATGACATCTTGTTATAGACTAATTTTATATTTTTTCTTGTAATTTCCACTTTCCAGTAGTTATGATTTTTCTCATGAAATAAGAGTGATTCTGTGAATCACAAGCGACTCCCAAGCAGTTCTACCGAGTACTGAGATCAGCTGAAAACAAATAGACCCAGCAAATATTTGTGGTAACAATGACAATGATGTGAATAAAATGAGTTATCATTGTGTTGGTCTGTCATATCAGTCAGAATCCTTCTGTGTTGTCTATGTTTTATGCAATAGAGCATGATACCACAGACGGCTAGTATATGTAGGCAAGCCTGTGTTTTGGGAATTGGCAAGTAGCCATCTGAAAGTCCCTAGATGACTATAATGAATTGGGCTTTCAATGACTACTGCATTGCTAATAAACTGACTACACCCTAAGCTTTCATGCACTGTTTTTTGTATCTGGTGGTAAAATGCATGTTTAGGATTGTTGTAAGACTAACTTATAATGTTTGTCTACAATGATGCCATATGTCTTCCCTTGATTTTCCCGTAGCTGTAACTAGCAATGGGTATAGATTTAATTATTATCAAATGATATGTACGCCTTAAATGCACTGTAAGTTGATCGAATAAATGTAAATGATCTTACGACCGTTTTAAAGCTCAGAAGTGAACTGTTAGCCTCCTCTTGAGGGTTATGTCATATTTTTATTTTCCAAGCTTTACTTGTAAAAATATGGGTAGCAGCCACTTCCATGTCAGTGCCATGTTGTCAACAACCTGTTTCAGTTGTCCTTTGTGTAAAAAGAGCTAGCATGCGGCACTGTTACTTTGTAGATTCTCCATTATTTTTCCAAAAAGAAAGAGCTGGATATCGACCTCCGAATGGCTAGCTAATGAATAATCATCGGTTGGGGGCCAATTAAATGATCTTCAAAGGCATTTTAGGCAATGAACTCCGATATTCGCTAGTGTGTGTTAGCATGCAGAGTCTTGGTGGATAAGTAATAAGACCCACTTAACTCTTCAATTATTTTCCATTACAGGGGAGCCACGGCAGTGTTTTGCCTGCTCAGTTTATTGGTAATGGAAGGCTTTATACTAGGGAGTGTTAATTGGTAGGTGTCAGAACTAGAGAGTTGCGGGTTATGTTTAGAGCATATTCATTAGTGCATAGCTCCTTAAGTGAAACTCATCACTGCCTGCGCATACGAGTGTTTGCATTTTATTATGGTGCTTTTTTCAAGCTGGTCTCCAAGCTGAGGCCCTTTCAGAAGGGTGGATAAATTATGTAAATTTTTTAGCATTAAACTGAAACTGTCTTTCATTGGGCGCTGCTGCGCTCATGGGCACTTTCTTGATTTCTGCGGTGATTAATCCAGTTCACATCTTTATTTTCAAAAGCCGATTACTTCATTTAAAGTCATTACATATTCATCCTCATTCAATGCCTCTGGATAATTCACACAGCCAAAATGAATAGGCTTGCTGTACTTTGAAATTGACCATAGATTTTTTGTGGTTGTTTATTTTTAATTATAATAAACAAATATGTTTCAGTTTTGTGTGTTTTAATTGTATTTAAATATACACACACTACCACTGAAATAATTTTTGAATGAAATAAATACTTTTATTCCACATAAATACATTTAATTGAGCAAAAGTTAGAAATGTTAAAAAATATTTCTACTTCAAATAAATTTTGTTCCTGGGAATCCTGGGGAAAAAATGCATCACAAAAATATTAAGCAGCACAACTGTTTTCCACATTGATAATAATAAGTAATGTTTCTTGTGCAGAAAATCAGTAAGTTAGATTGATTTCTGAAGGATCATGTGACATTCGTTTTAAATTTTAATAATATTTGACAATATTACTTTTTTTTTTTAATATCTTACCAACATATATACAAATAAACGGTAGTGTTAAGCATAGTAAATATTTATTTTGTAAAAAAAATATATATATATAAATAAATTGTCAGAAAATTGTATCATGTAATCTGTATTGTGAATTTCAAGGTTAGTGAATCATTACATCCCTATATGCAACTAGTTTTTGCTGATCATGCTAATTTGTCCACAGTAAAGCTCAGCCGATGTCTTTTTTTTATTCGGGCTAGTTAAATTCATATAAACTCATTGGTCTCCACCCCATCACTCAAATTTAACTGTTAAGTAAAAAAAAATTCAAAATGACAGTCATTTCCCAGCAGAAACATCATACATGCTATAATGTGTTTCAATGGGAGTGCATGTGCCATGTGTGTGGGTATGTGAGTTTTTTGTGCATTGGGGACATTCTGCAGTCTCAGCTCTTTGTTTGGGTATGCATCTTTTCTGGATTGTGTCAGATTTTGTATAGTAAAAAAAATCAAATAAATAAAATAATGCTGTGTTTTTTTTCTCGGACATTCCATTCATTCCTATGGCTGGGTCAAAATGACCCGCGAGGGACACTTTTGTTGCTTTTTTTTATTACACCAACATAGAATCCTCAAATCTACTAATTTTTTTTGTGTGTGTGCTCCATGGTCAAGCGTGACAAAATTAAATAAAAAAAAATCCACAGTTGTTTCGTAAATTCCATGCTTTTCCAATGGCAGGTCAAAATGACCCGCGAGGGACACTTTTGATACTTTTTTTTTTATAGTACCCACTGAAACTGCTCGAATTCACTAAAAAAATTTTTTCGTGTATTCCCGGTTCAAGTGTGACAAAAGTAACAAAGTCTCATACCATAACGATCAACGCTCGATTTTTAAAAAATCTTTACAAATGAGTTTCGGGTCAAAATAACCCGAGGGACGGATGAGGGTTTTTAAAACATATTTGTTTAATAAAATTGAAATTAAAATTGAGTCAGTCAATGAGACCCCAAACAGAACATGAAGGTCAATAATAAATTTTATCAAACATTATTATCTTTTATAGCATTATCATCGCGGCTGCACTGTAATGCATGGCCTCTAGTGGGTTTTCTTTCTTTAATAAACTCAGATTTCAGAGAGTGCCGTTTGATCAAGAGGGACATCAGTGAAGATAAAAGCCATTTGTTCTGATGGAGCATTTTGGATTTATTTAGGGGGAAAGCACAGTGAGTAAGCACAGTACATGGACTATGTGCATACACTCATTCCTCATTGTGTGTGCATGGTTTCATTAAATTTTAAGTGCAGAGCCCTTCTGGCTCAAAATCTGTTTAGTTTAGCCCCAAATCCAGCACCAAAAAAAAAACACCCTGTCTTCCACGTCTCACGGGACCGCTAGATCCCATTTAAACACTGCCAAGTCACACGAATGCATTCGCCCTAGAGAAGTTTGCTTCCTTTGACAGACTACCCTTCACCGACAGCGCGTTTTCATTAAGGCTTGCAATTTGGACAATTTCCAAATCACCTCTATTCTTTCGGGCGAGAAGCACACTAATTATGCCAGCGTCTTAAGGAGAACTGGAAACACAATTACGCATCTTCCTTCTGCTGCCTGTGCACAGTGGTTTGTAGGTCAGGGGAACGCAGGCCCATTTCATCACAATGAACGCATGAGCTGCATGGCTAATGTTTTAATCGTAATAATTAATACCACTTCGCTCTCATGCTGCTGCTAATTATGCATCCACACGTCACGGCGCAGACCTCGTTGATATCTGGAGAGAGGTGATTTCAGCCAGGTTTTTCCAAACCCCCAGGAAGTCAGGGTTCATTTGGCAAGCCAAGTCATTTCCAGCACTTCACTTGAATGCGAAACGTCTGAAAAGGGCTTTCTTACTTTCTAGATTTTTAAGTTGCATGTTTAGTTTCAACTATGGTCAAAAAGCAGACTGACAAATGGTCTATTCACACCAAGAGTGAAATTTATATTAGCCAATATTTACAATATGTGCTGCTGAATGATGATCAAATGCAAATAATAGTTCAGGGTTTTGCTGGTATATTCCATAATTATGCCAATATGTGAGCAAAGAGCTTACTTCTCCATTGTCTCAGCCATTTAAAAGTAGAAATGCTGAGATTTAATAAATCACTCTTAATAAATCACTCATGGCATTTCAAACCTGTTTGGCTACCTTTGTTCTGTGGATCACAAAAGAAGATATTTTGTAAAAGGACTATTTTTTTTATCCATAAAATGTAAGCTAATGGAGTCCAGTGTTATTTGAATCCCAAAGTTCTTCAACGTTTCTTTTGTGTTTCATAGAACAAAGAGAATCAAACAGGTTTGGAATGATGTGATTGAATTATAAGGGCATTATTTTCAAACATTTTCATGTTTTTTTTTTTTCCCTTTGGAGTACTTAATAACACTTAATACTATTTAATACTATAATACTTAATAATTCACTCATGTTGTTCCAAACAGCTTTGATTTACTTTGTTTTGTGGAGCACAAATGAAGATATTTTGAAAAATGTCATCGTTTCCTTGTCCATACAATGAAGTCTAATGTTGTTTGAACATCAGCATTGTTCAAAAATTATTTTGTGTTTTGCAGAAGAAAGAAATGGATACATGAGTATGAGTAAAAGATGACAACATTTATTTTTAGGTGAACAATCTCTTTAAAAGTATGAAATGAATTCCTGTAAGGAATTGCAATGTGTTAGTGGCTGGCTCAGAAATTGGCTGCATGTG